TGCCCCCCCCGGCCGGTCCTTCGCCGGTCCTCCGGCTCCTCCCCGCGGCCGCAGCCCGGGAGCAGCACAGAATCGTCGAATGCTTTGGATTGGAAGGGACCTTTAAAGGTTATCCCCTTCTCCCAGAAAGCCGTGCCTGCAAAGGCACAATCTCCTGCTTTGCGCTTCAACCCCAAAATAAGGAAACACTTCTCTCCTGTGAGGGCAAGGGAGCGCTGGCACAGGCTGCCCAGAGAGGTTGTGGAGTCTCTGGAGACTTTCAAACCCCACCTGGACGTGTTCCTGTGGGATCTGCTCTCTTAGGTGATCCTGCTCTGGCAGGGCGCTTGGATTAGATGCTCTCTAGAGGTCCCTTTCCGAGCCCGAACATTCTGTGATTCTGTGCTCAGGGTGCCCTGGGAGCTTCCAAAGCAAAGCCAGCCTGCCAGCCACGCATCATTAAAAAATAACTACATAACTACCACCTCCCTTCTCCGGTGCCTTCATTTACACTGGGCTGCCCTGCATGGGAGCAGCAAATAATAAAAGCTCCCCTAAACATCCAGACGCTGCCATTCGCAGCCCCTAACTACACAGCTAATTCCTCCAAAGCCACAAAGGCAGGCGCAGTCAGATGCTGTACTCAGAGGGAGTCCTGCATCTGCAGGAGGCCACATGTTCCAGCCCCTAAAGGACACCTTGAAACCACGACAAAAGAGCTGCTCCACCAGCTGTGCAAGCCCTGGAGTCAAGGGATATCTCTGTCCACCCCAGATCACTTTTGCCTGAATAATCACCTCAGCAGGTCACCCACCGTTTCCCTGACTTCATGGGTTGTCCCAGGCTCTGGTCTCCCACCCGAGGGATTCTGACTCACCTGAGACCTTCAGGTATCGCCTCCCACCTTGGTAGACCAGAGAGGGCTCCTCGCTCCAGAGCGAAGCAATGCCACCGCGCCTGGCACCAGAGCTTCAAGGAGCTCTCTGTGAAGAACTTGAGCCTGGAGTGGGGTTCAGAGACTCTTAAAATGGCATTTTTTAGACTATATACTTTCGTTCATCCTCAAATCCAGGCAAGAACACATGGTCCCCAGAGATCATGTTCCCATAAACCTCCTTAGAGCTCTACGGTGAGGAAACAAGAGCTAGGGAGGAGCTACAACTGGGAAACAAAAGGTGTGTGAGCAGCCTCCACCACTCAGAGAATAAGCCCGGGGCATTTGCAGCCATTTGGGGCTTCTCTAGAGGTTTTGAGAAGATTTCAGCTTCCTCAGCCTGCAAGCAGCTCCACGGCCTTACAGCTGCAGCCAAATCCTCAAAACAGCGGTGGGAGAGAGGGATGGATGAGACCCGGAGACTCGCCACCATTCCTCCTTCACAAGTACATGCTAGAGCATCCCTTCCACATGGCAGCGACTCGCTGCTTTCCTTTGGAGACACTTCTTTGCCCTCCAGTGATCCACCCTCTCCCCAGTCTGCAAAAACCCCTCACCCAACTACTACGACTCCTCCAAGGATGGGACCATCTCCCACCAGGCCACGCTGGCTGTTTTCAGCTATTTTGAAATGGCTGAAGATGCTGAAGGCTCCCAGATATCCCAGCCCACATTCAAAAAGCAGGATTTCCAAGGACTTAAACCCTAGGTTGCCTCTGGAAGCATGGATAGGCAAGCAGACATAGGAGGTAAATAAACTAAAAGGTTCTGCCAATAGAAACAGCAGGCCTGGACCCTGCAAACACAGAGAAAGCTCCCAAAATAAACGACCATCCTGGCAGGACAGAGGAAGAGAACAGTCCCCATATGCTGATTTCTGTCTCAGCATCCTACGGAAATCAAATCAAACAACTCCCCGGAGGCTGAGGGGCACTGGTTCCAAGACTGCAGGAAGAAATCAAAGGCGAGTGCTCCGCTTGCTGCTGAGAGCCCTGCCTGAAAATTAAAACATAGTGACAGAAGGAAGCGATGTGGAATATTTCAGTTACAGAAGCTTTTTCTGACGCACTCTTGAAATAAAAAACTCACCATTGGATTCAGCTGGTTAATAAGTTATACTCCTGCAGTTACTGGTTGGGCTAAGTGCATCCAGCAATAACCAGCTGCTTTGATCCCTCAGTGACTTCTCTCTGCCAGATGCTGTAACCAACCCAGTTCCACATCCCCCCGAAGAACTGGAGCCAACTTAAACTTTGATAAACCAAGGCGGCAGCCACTTCACTTGAATACATCCATGTTTTATTTGCTTAAATAAAGGTAGAATCTCGGTTTTACAGTTCCAGTTCCGCAGCAATAGCAACAACAGCGGCAGCATGAGCTGACACAGGGAGGGGACGGCTGTTGGCACCGAACTTTGCAACAAAGAGTTCAAAATCCTGGCTCCTTTGGAAATTGTGCGTATCGTTTAAAACAAATGAAACCATTTCAACATATTAAACTGTACTGGGTTTAAATTAGTGTTTAAAACATGTGAGCCTAATAAAATACCGTGGGGTTTTTTTAAGTCTGTGCCTGTGCACAACGAGGCTCTTAAGCTTCAGCTCTCAGAATTGAAACGTACACTCACAGTACTGCAAAGAACACGCTGCACCCGGGCCTCTTGCACCCTGGAGGTGCCAGGCACCTCACAGAGATCCCATCAGCAGTTTCACCTGCAAGGCCAGCCAGGGCACAAGGGCCTGAGCCTGTCCTGACCCTTGGGCCTCCGCACAAACCAGGTGCTGGGGGAGTTTGTCTGTTCAGAGATGTAAATCAGAACCACTGGTCACAGGCTGGAATCTTGAAGGAAATATCAAGCAGCATTAAACCGAAGAAAAATCGAGAGACCTGGGGAGGTCAGACTGGTAAATCAACAGTAACTTTAATATCCTACAAAAATCTGTTGCATCTACAGAGGCAGAGCCTTCTCCTGTATCTCAAGGGACGCGGTTTTCCAGACTGCGATCACTCCATCCCTGCGAACAGGAGTGCTCAGCCCTGTTTAGAGATCAGATCCCTTTAAAGCACTTTGCATTAAAGTTTCAGTCCCTTCCACAGACGGCTGCCCTGCAGAGAAGGGCAGGATCACCCTGAGTTCCCCCAGAGGAGGCTCCCTGTGTGCTCAGAGGCTGCTCAGCGACAGGGATTAGCTGCTGCCAGCCAGCACCAAGGCAGAGCCCACCCTGCTCTAAAGCGCAGCGTAAAGTGAGGCTGCTCGATTTGAGCTCCAAAATTTACCACCCGGTAGCTCAGTCACAGTGGGAATCACATTCAGCAGCTGGCGGATACGTACTCGGGGAAGCTCTGCCAGGGGCAGGCTCCTGTGTGCTTATGGGCAAAGTCATAGTTTTGGACAAACGCTTGCATGGAAGCGGAGGGACACGAGGTTAAAATGATAAAAGACAACCACAGCAAGCACTCTTTTCTATGCAGCTAACCTGGAACTAACGCCTGGCATGGGGTGGGAGCTGAAATCAGCAAAGCCTGGCATCCTTTTCTAGAAGGCTCCTTGCCCCCCGTCTCATTTATCAGCCACCTTGGGCAGAGGTGGAACCAGAGCAGCTCTCTCACTAGCAAAGGCCAGTTAACTGAGTGGACGTCCTCCACCAGTGAAGTCTGTAAGATGAATTACAGGTAAAACATACTGGATTCCCTGTTAGGGAGTAAGGGTCAGGACAACAGCACAAGTTAAGTGTGCTTAGCAGCAACAGGTAATAAAGGGAATGGCTCTGTGGTGCAGCATCCACACGGTGCTAAAGGAAACGAAGACACTGATCCACTGGTTAACGGTGGTCACTGGCCCCACACACTGAGTGGATTTCACAGCTGACCACGCGTGACTCCCTCAGCCACCCGCACACCTAGGAGACATCCCAGCACACCTAGGAGACATCCCAGCACACCTAGGAGACATCCCAGCACACCTAGGAGACATCCCACTCTCCCAGTACGCGGTCTGCTAGTACATATCATCCAGACGTGGTGATTAATCAGGACAGAAACCAGCTGGAGTTTCACACTCTGCATCTCCTGAACTCCTGAGTAACTTTAAACCTTTGGATGTGACCCGGTGAGCGTCCACAGTGGGTATTTTTCATCCAGGGCTTCAAGGTATGAGAAGCGAGATGCAGTGTTGAGCCTCCACAAGAGACAAGGAAACATGTATTAAACGAGAAGCAGATGGTCTCTCCACAAAATAACACTCGCACAAGACAAAGTTAGAGGGGAGGAAAACCAGACTGGAAACAGGCAGCTACGAAGAAGCTACGCTGCCACGTTCAAACACAGGTTCATCTCTCCTTTGTACGTTGCTTTCGATCACAGCTCTAACAATTCTCAGCACAATCCAGTCTCAGGACACAGTGAACTTACCCCAAACAACAGATACACACATCCCAGCCATTCCTAGTACTTGGCATTCACAGTCGCATGGGTTAGAGTCTCTACAACGGGTTTTGTTCAGTGTGCTGAGCAGACTTTCCTTTGGCAGTAAGGGTCTAGGGTTTTGGTTTGTTTTTTGAGTTCAGGACTAAAACAATTCCAAGAGTGTCTAGAGCACTCTCAGCTTTGTTCCGCGGGCATTCTCAGTACAGATCAGATCACTACTGTCTTGAAGTGAATTTAAAGGACTTCAACGTCGTCCTTTAAACCTGCTAAAACAGGCAGAGAAGGAAGCAGGACTACGCTCACATGCTCTTTTAACAGCTCTCTCCTGCAGATACATGTTCTGTGCCCAAAAACTCCAGCCAGCATTCAGACACTGAGGCTGCAACTCCCCGGTGAGCAAACCACCTACTGTCCTTGTGGCCACTCGCCCTCAGATCGCCTCAGAGCCGCCCGTGCTGATCCAGCCGCTGGCTCGACGAAGCGGCAGCCGCTCTCAACAGCAGGAAGACCCCGATTTGGAGCTGGAATGCAGGTCGATGGTGTGGCCCAGCATGCAGTGCTCCAGCTGCTCCTCCACTGCCAGCACCTGCCGCACGGCCTCCTCAAACGCCACGGTCACGTTGGTGTCATCCTTGGCGCTGGTCTCCAGGTACGGGTAGTTCCCGTTTTCCATGCACCAGGTCTGGGCCTCCTCTGTGCTCACCTGTCTCTCCAGTTTATCTATCTTGTTGCCCAGGACTACAAATGGGAAGTGTTCAGGGTCCTTCACATCAGCATAATAGACAAACTCCTTCTGCCAGTTACTGAGGTTCTCAAAGCTCTGCCGGTCATCCACGCTGAAGGTCAGCAGGCAGCAATCTGCTCCCCTGTAAAAGGGGGTTCGCAGGCTCTTAAATCTCTCCTGCCCCGCAGTGTCCCAAATCTGGAGGGTCACAAAACGTCCGTCCACCTCCAAGTCCCGGTTTAAGAACTCCACACCGATGGTGTGGAAAGCCTGCGAGTCGAACTTGTTGGTGACATATCGGTTCATGAGGGAACTTTTCCCAACTCCACCATCCCCAAGGAGAATGACCTTTAAGAGCAAAGACTTCCCACTCATCGCAGCGGGACGGAGGGGAGCGGCACCAAGGCAATCTGCAGGGTTCAGAAACAGCACAAAACAGCTATTTGACCTGTGGATTCTGCAGAAAGCTGCACAAGGAAGAACAGAACGTGGTACTTCCATCCCCAATTCTGAACAGGTTTTGTATATAGGAGGTAATCGCTCTTATTAGAAAGATTAGAGCTGGGAACTGGAAAATTGGACAAGCTTTCAGGCACAAAAGTCCTCCACCAAGTCCAAAACGGAAGCAGCAGTTCACTGCTGTTAAGTGCAAGGTGAGAACAACAGTCCAAAGTTTAGTACAGATTACAGCAATTTTAGTGAAAACTCTGTATCTGAAAGCTCGTCCAGTTTTTCCAAAAGTACCATCACTAGTTAAACATCTCTTCTGGCCAGTATCCTCTGGCTAAACAGCAAAATCACCAGGGATCACCATCACCAGGCCTTCCTTTCCGCTTCACAATCACTGGCTAAATAATTTCTCCTGTCTGAGTCTCCTGGAAGGATGTAAAAGATGTACGGACCTAACACCGACACAAGTGATCTGGAAAAACAGCTCTTAATCACCCCAAGGACACTGACTCACCTCAAAAGCGGAGCTGGTGCTTGTTTCCTGCGCGTGATCTCTACGGCCCAGAAGGGGTTTCCCAGGCACAGAGACGCAGCTTATCGGCTGCTCTTTTCTGGCAATGCTTCTCACAGGCCAGTTTGCTGGGGCACGGGCGCAAGCTCGTGTTGCAACAACCCCAACACCACAGGTTCCTTAGTCAGCAGTCGCAAGAGAAAGGCCAAGAGCCAATCAGTCCTTCTCTCTCCTCTGAGGGACATTCTGCCAGCAAACGTAAAGGCCTGACACAGAGTAAAAGGTTTGTTTGGCTGCTGTCTGTACTGTACCTGCTCTAGAAATTCGGCGCTTCTGTCTCCAGGACTGCCCAGGGAACACCTTCCTCCAGCATAACAGTCACTAGAAAGCAAACCAAAATAAAACCAGATTAAACTGAAGGCGCTCTGGCATGAGCATGCAGGCTGCATAACCCGCGTCTGCCTTCAATCAGAGGATGTTGACAGCTTTGATCGGCTTGGCCTGCCTACCTACACACTCTGGAATCTGATCTGAGCACTGATCATGTACCTGGATCTGCTAACCAGAAGAGCGAGCCAGCTGGCAAGATCCTGGTATGAAGACACAAGATCTGGCTTGCTTACACCTGCTCCCAGCATTCCTGGGGAGGGTGTGGACACAGCGGTGCTGCTCAGCGATGACACCACCAGACAAACCTCCAAACAACTGACACAGGAGCATTCCAGGCTGCTCAGATCAGTGCTCCTCATCCCTCCAAGCCAAAATCCCCCTCGTGCATTGAACGTGGCAGACCCCAGAAACTTTGTTTCCGTTCTTTTTTGCGGCTCTTTCAACTGGTGCTTACCACAAAGCCAAAATGAGAAACTTCTGCTTCAGGTTAGTTTCGGTGGAAAGCACAGAAGCCAACGAAAGGCTCCGCCGCTTTCGCTTCCCCTGGGCACAACCACCCCGCACCGAGCGCAGCCCAACCAACCTGACGGGCCGTGGGACGTCTGAGAAGCATCCAAGCGAGCCAGAGGTTCTAGAGCGAAGAACAAAGATGCAAATGTCACCAGAGACAAACAGGAACTGCAGCCGAGCTCCCTGGGGCTGAGGGTGGCTTCGCCAAACTCTCCTTTGAGCAGGGTGAGGCGCTGGAAATCCTTTTCCACAGCTCCTCCTTTTCCAAAGCCCTGCTGAGGGGGAGGTTTAAGGTGGCCCCTGGCCCCAAAGCCCACCCTGACACAAACCACCAGGCCTGACACGGACTTTCCGTTTCGAGGCGGGTTAACTTTTATAGCAATGACTAATGGGTGAAGCCGGGCTGACCCAGAGCCTGCCGGCTCACCGCTTCACCCCTTTTTTATTTTTGCAACCTACTTCAGAGGCGAACCTCGACTCGCG